CCTCTCAAGTATTCAGATGAGTACAGATTAGCACTTGCCTATGAGGAAACTGCGTGAAGAAAGGAAAGAAATCCCTAAACATATTAGAGGAACCAGTGCCCAATGCTCACACAAGGCTGAGAGTAATGTCTGTTCCCACCATCCAGACTGGAAAATCCCATAATTCACAGGACATTTGCTACAGTGCATAGTAGGGTCTTGCCTCAGTGGGGAATAAGTAACTCTACATTTAATATTGCTCTGGGCCAGCCTAACAACCCTGAAAGGATAAAACTGTTCCCAAGCATCTCAGAACAAAGCTCAAGAATACTTGTAGGAGCACAGAAATATCCAGCACCCAATGAAACAAAATTTACAATGTCTGGTAGTCAGCTAAAAGTTACAAGTCAAAGAAACAAGAAAATACAAACCGTATTTGGAAAACTTATCACCCAATTGAAACAACTCAGAATTTACACAATGTTAGAATTACCAGACAAGGCAGTAAAGTGATCAGAATTACATTTTATATGTTTGTAAAGTTAAGGTGAAACATGAAAGATATTTGAAAAACAAAATAAAACAAAACACATTGAACTTTAGAGATAAAAGCTGCAGTGGACCCACAGAAGATTAGACATTGAAGAATAAAAGAGTAGTGAATTTGAAAACATAGCAATAAAAATGATCCTAAATGAAGCACAGAGAGGAGAGAATTAAAAAGAGGAAAGGACATCAGTAGGCTGTGGGACAACTTCAGACATCCTAATGTGTGTGTAATTAGAGCATCGAAAGGAGAGGAGAAAAGAGGAAATAGAGAAATAAAGAAATAAACTCTTAAAAGTAAATTTTCCAAATTTGATGAAAACTCACAACTCATAGACTCAAGAAGCTCAACAAGCCCCCAAGCACAGTAAACATGAAGAAAACTACATCAATAGTGCATCATAATCAAAGTGCTCAAAACCAATGATAAAGAGAAAATCATAAAAAGCAGCCAAAGAAGAAAGACATGATACATGCAAAGGAACAAAGATAAGGATGACAGTATAATTTTTATTGGAAATTGCAGGTGAATTCACTGTGAAGCAACATCTTTAAATTACTGAAAGAAAAAAAGTCAACCTAAAATTCTATATTTAGAATGCTATACCCAGAAAAAAATATTTTAAAAACAAAGGAGAAATAAAGACTTTCTAGACATAAAAAACTGAAAGAATTTGTAATCAGCGGATCATCAGCACTATCATAAATGTTAAAAGATGTCCGTCAGATGAAAGGAAAATTGTTAGCTATATAAACAAGGATACATCACAGTGACAGCATTAAAGGTTATGTGTTATAGTCAAAAGCTTCAAAGAAAAGGATCTGGAGAGGCTGGAGGTAAGCTCCAAATATTCTTCCTCTACAGAGAGTACTTTCCTCCTGCTATCAGAAATGACATCACAATGTCCACTTCTTCCACTTCTGTTCAACATTGGGTTAGATGTTCTAGCCATTGCAGTGAGGCAAGGAAAAGAGTAACAGGCACACAGACTAAATAGGAAGGAATAACACTGTCGTTATTCACAGACATGATAATTACGTAGAGAATCCATGGAAATCTATAAAGACGCTAGAACTAATGACTTTAGCAAAGTTACAGGATACAAGATCAATATACGAAAGTATCTCTACATACTAGTAAAAATATTATTTACAATAGCAGCAAAAAACATGAACTAACAAAGGTTGTGAAAGACTTGCACACTGAAAACTACAAAACACTTGTGAGAAAAATTAAAGAAAACCTAAATAGGTAGGTATGAGCTGAGTGCAAAGGCTCATGCCTGTAATTTCAGCACTTTGGGAGGCCAAGGCAGGCAGATCAGTTAAGGCCAGGAGTTTGAGACCAGGCTGGACAACATGACGAAACCCCATCTCTACCAAAAATACAAAAATTAGCCAGGTATAATGGCACATGCCTGTAATCTCAGCTACTCAGGAGGCTGAGGCATGAGGATCCTTTGAACCTGGGAGGCAGAGGTTGCAGTGAACCAAGATCGCACCACTGTACTCCAGCCTGGCGACACAGCAAGACTCTGTCTCAAAAACAAAACAAAACAAAAAACAAACAAACAAATAAATAAATAAATAGATATGTCTTGCTCATGGGTCAGAAAACTCACCCTGACCCCTCCATTAACGTATAGATTTAATGAAATTCTGATCATAATCCCGAAAGTCTCTTTTGTAGGTATTGATAAAAATAATTATAAAATTTACATTGAAAAAGAACAAAGTTAGAGGACTAATACTACCTGATTTTAAGGTTTATTATAATGCTAGAGTAAGCAAGACTAGTGGTACTAGCACAAAGATAAAGAAATGAATCAGTAGAAAAAAATGGAGAGCCCAGAAGTACACACACCAATTTTTGAACAACTAATTTCAAGTCTTTTTAGCAAAAGTTGAAAAAAAGGAGCCTCAATCCATTCCTTAACACCATTTACACAAATTCACCAAAAATGGATCATAGACCTAAACATGAAACCTAAAACTATAGAACATCTAGAAGGAAACATAGAAAGAAAATCTTTGCTGCCTTGGATTAGGCCAAGATTTCTTAGACACAACACTGAAAGCATGATCTATAAAGGAAAAATGATATATTGAACTTCATCACAGTTAAAAACTTCTATTCCTTGAAAGAAATAAAATGCAAGCTACAGAGAAAATACTTGCAAATCGTATATCTGATATATCATCTATATGATATATTTGGATAAATTTGTATCCAAAATATATAAATAACTGAAGATTTAATATAAGAAAGCAAATGAGCTAATTAAAAAATGGGCAAAAGATTTGATCAGATTCCTCACCAAAGATGACATATAAGTCTGTTTTCTCATTGCTGTAAAGAAACACATAAGACTGGGTAATTTATAAAGAAAAGAGGTTTAATTGGCTCATGGTTCTGCAGGCTCTACAGGAAGTATGATGCTAGTATATGCTGGGCTTCTGGGGAGGCTGAGCTGTAGGCATCTCACATGGCAGGAGCAGGAACAAGAGAAGTGAGGGGAAGTGCCACACACTTTTAAATAACCAGATCTCACAGGAACTCACTATCACGAGAACAGCACCAAACCATTCACAAGAAATCCACTCCTATGATCCAATCACCTGCCACCAGGCCCCACCTCCAATATTGGGGATTACACTTCGACACGATTTTGGGTTGGGCACACAGATCTAAACCACATCAGAAGACAATATGACTAGAAAACAAACATATTAAAATATATTTAATATTATTAGTCATTAAAGACATGCAAATTAAAACCACAATGGATAGCACCACTCATTGTCAGAATCACTACAATTTAAAAGACTGACCATACCAACATAAAGGAACTAGAATTCTCATGCACTGCTGCTGAGAATGTAAAATGATACAACCCCTTTGGAAAACAGTTTCTAAGTTTCTTTGCTTCATAACACCATACAAACCCTTGTATATAAAAATTCATAGCAGCTTTACTTGTAAGAGCTAAAAACTGAAAATAATCCAAATGTCTATAAACAGATGAATAGATAAACAACTGGGTTACATTTATATAATAGAATATTACTCAGCAATAAAGCAGAATGAATTGTTGATATGTGCTATACCAGAGTGAATCTCAAAACAATCATGCTGAGTAAAATTTAAAAGGTCAAAAAAGGATACATAATGTATAATTCCATTCATTTAAAATTCTAGAAAATGCAAACTAATCTAGAGTGGTGTAAATTAGATCAGCAGTTTCCTGGGAATCTGGACTTTAAAATTACAGAGGGGAATGAGGAAACTTTTTTGGGTGATAGACATGTTCATTATCTTGATTGTGATGATGGTTTGGTGAATGTGTACATATGTCAAAACTAATCCAATTGTATACTTTAAATATATATGATTTGTTGTTATTTGTCAATTATATCTGAATAAAACTTTTTTTTAAAAAGTTTGTATCTAAAAGGATAGTAAAACTGCTCTCTTCTGAAGGCCAGATTTCTATAATCCTCAATTCTCTGATGTAGAGATATGCATCCAGAATTTTTTTTAAAGCATGATGAAATGGCTTTGACAAAGCCACAGCACTCTGGCTAAATTCCTTATTTCCTAGGTGACCTTTTAAACTCTCATTCAGAGCCTGTTTGATTCTACCTAGCACGCTTCAATTAAGCTTAATAAGTTATAAACAATACATTTGAAGAGAGAAAGGGGCATAAAAATATTTGAGGGAGTCCCAGTGAAAAGTGATTATCAGTACTGCAAGAAGTGAAAAGAATTTTGGAAAGTAGCTGGAATTTCACTCTGCAAGCACTATCTAGTAATGAGTATTCATTGAGATAACCAAGGAGAGTGTCTTTTGTTTAATAAGTCAGGTTAAAATGTATGGACTTCAAAAAGATTTATGTCAAAAATAAGATGCAAAAGGTTTTCAATTCTAAAGAGATGATTCTTGGTTACGTGAAAATCTGATTTAGGTGGCATACCTTGTTGACCCACAGTGAAGTGCTTTTGAGGAAAGTCTTGAGTATTACAGAAAGTAGTTAGATTCAAACTAAGTAAAATATTGGAAAGAATGTGAAAGAATATTCCAGCATTAGAGGCAAAATAGAAAGGTTCACTCCAATCCTTTTCCCTTTATGAATGTGCATGTGTCTTTGGTTTCCTAAAGTGCTTTTTGTGTTTAAATTGACAGGAAGGGAAGAACAAGTCTTAATGCCTTATGGCTCCAAGATCTGTTTTCCAGTCATTTCACATATGGCTCAGAATGTTAATAATGGAAAGTTGATCTATGTTGACTACTTGCCAACTTTATTACTTAAACTCATTCCTTGACAATAAATCTTGTCCTTTCAAGGACAATTCTGGAATTAGACTCAGAATTCTGACAGTATGACTCTTCTGTTACTGAAAATTACATCTATCATTTAAAGCATTTTATTCTGCTAAACCTGTAATGAAAATTTTTGAAACATCACATTTCTAGGAACTCCTAAAGAAGAAATCATCCATTCAGTGAGAGCAAATGAACACACCAACAGACTGAAACAAAGCATCTTTGCAGGAGACATGAATGCCAGAAAGTGAAGAGAACTACAGTCAGGGTCTCTGCTGGCATGGTCCAAGCCCACCGTGGCATGACCCAGAGAGACGAGTCAGCAGAGTGCTATGGACACCTCCCATACTCCTCTCGCAGATCAACAAGCCAGCACATAACCCAGGGAGATAGATAATAGTGATGCTGTGCTCTGTAGAGGGTAGTGGCAACAGTGGGATTTCTTCTGGAATAAATCTGTAGTGAGCCAGATGTTTCTTCTGACTGTATTACTTCTGACAGTGTATAATCCAAAATTGTTTCCTTGGCCTTCCAAAGAGTTTTATACGCTACCTAACGGCTACAATAAATCCCTTTCTTCTTAAACTAGCTAAAGTGGATTTTTATTCTCTACAAAACAGATCCTGCCACTAAGAACCCAACTAGTATTTGTTGACATGATTAGGGAGAAAGTTAAGCCACTGTAAGGGGGGGAAAAGCAGCTCCAAGTATAAGGGCTTAAATGTGTTAGAAGCTTCTTTTTCATATCACAGTTCAAGATGAATATCTGGGCTATGCTCCATAAAGTCATCTAGATACACAGGTTGCTGGGGCAAATCTGCCATCTTCTACATTTGGCTTTTCTCGCTAGGTCAAAAGTGTTTTCTCCAGTGATTGTCAACTTCACTGGTTCCACATTCCAGGCCACAGAAGGGAACAAAAGAAAATATGAAGGGCAAACAACTTTATTTTGAAAAACACAAAGTAGAAGTGGTTACTAAAACTTAGGCCTTGCGGGGTGGCTGACATCTGTAATTCCAGCACTTTGGGAGGTCAGTACAAGAGGATCACTTGAGCCCAAGAGTTTAAGACCAGCCTGGGCAACACAAGGAGATATGTTCTCTACAAGAATTAAAATAAAAAATAAAATAAATTAGCCAGGTGTGGTGATGCATGCCTGTAGTCCCAGCTACTTGGGAAGCTGAGGTGGGAGGATCTCTTGAGCACTGATCAAGGCTGCAATGAGCTATGATCACAACACTGCATTCCAGCTTGGGTGACAGAGCATGACCTTGTCTCACAAAAATAAAATAAAACCTAGAAGCTAAAACCAAAACTCAGAGCCTTCTCAAGAGAATGTGGGAAATGTAGCCTGTAACTGGAGTAGCCATTAGTCTAGCCAAAACTTGATGGGTGTGGGGTGTTCTCTTAGTAAAAGAAGAAAAGAGAAATGGACGTGGAAAAAATTCCAAAACTTTATTCAAGAGGGCATCATCAGCTTTTGAGACTTCAGTTGTCCCCTGCAAATGGGCTTTTACTCTCCTCTCTTTTCTTAAAGCAAAAATACCTGCAGGAAGCCGCAGAGCAGTGGAAAGATCAGAAAGCATACTCCTCAGTCCTTCTACCTAAGTAGCAATGTAACAGTGAGATGGGCATAGCTATTTTTACTCTCTTACTAGAAGTAAAACATTTAGATTTTGAAACACCAACTCCTCCTCCAATGTAGAGCATCCTCTGTGTAGACCCTACGAGATACAGAAGTCAGCAAGGCTGGCCTGACCACTGCCCTGTTGATGCTTTTGTTCTAGGATGGAAGATTAATGTTTTGGTAGTTGATTATTTAACTAATTATTAAGAGTGCTCCAAGGAAGTACAAAATGGATATGTATATAAATGGATATGTGTCATAAGTAAATGGATATAAGTGTCATAAGTATAGGACACAAGAATTTGACCTTGGCTGAAGAGATCACAATGCATTTTCCTCTTAAAGTGATATTTAAGTATATAAAAAATTATGAACAGATTTACTAGTGAAATTTATTTCTGCAAGTTGGCAAATTGTTTACATAACCTTTCTGTTTAACTCTTTAGTTATGATTAGATTAGGAGTTTTTTTTTTCACTTAAAAACATGTATCAACATTTTTTGAGTAGGTATTCATTTACCTGGCTTAAACACGATATATGAAAATGTAGCTGGGCACCATGGCTCACACCTGTAATCCCAGCACTTTGGGAGGCCGAGTCAGGAGGATGACTTGAGCTCAGGAGTTTGAGACCAGCCTGGGTAACATGAAGAAACCCCATCTCTACCAAAATACAAAAATTAGCTGGGCATGGTGGTGCACACCTGTAATCCCAGCTACTTAGGGGGCTGAGGTGGGAAGATCGCTTGAGCCCAGGAGGTCAATGCTGCAGTGAGCCATGTTTACACCACCGTATTCCAGTCTGGGCCTCAAGGTGAGACTCTGTCTAAATAAATAAATAAATAAATAAATAAATAAATAAATGGAAGAAGGAGAAGGAGGAGGTGGTGGTGGCGGAGGAGGAGGAAGAGGAGGAGAAGGAAGAGGAAGAAAAAGAAGACAAAGAGGAAGGAGAAGGAAGAGGAAGAAAAAGAAGACAAAGAGGAAGAAGAAGCTTCTATGGGAAAGTTTAGGGAGAGGGGCTTCTCATACAGGAATTGTCTTTTGCAACATACAGGCTAAAATCATCAAAGCGCAAGACAATCAGTAAAGCTTCACCATTCAGAAACCAATCAACGTCCTTTTCAGTATCAGTTAAGTTACATATTAATTAGTACATCAACAGTTTGAGGAACCCACTATAAGATTTCAGGGACTCAGGATAAGTTTCTTTACTCAAGAATAGGATGTAAGCCGTGAATCATAAGACCTCCCTAAGGTGGATTAATTTGGAAACCTGCCAAATGTGGCATCTAGGTTATCATATCCTTGCTAAGAATTTGTATTTATCTGAAAGCTAATAAAAATAATTATATTTTTTCTCCTTTCAAGTTACAGATAATAGGAAACTATACAAATTTTACCTCCCATTCTAGCTTTTTTCACTTACTATAGCATGGAGCTTTTGATATGTTGATAAAAAAGCTTTTTTAAATAAAATTATAGTATTCCATTTTATAGATATACTATTAATGTATTTCACCAGCCCCTTATTGGTGAGCATGTAGATCATTTCCAATATGTTGCATTATAAACAGTGCTTCAATGAATTATATCCAAATGTCATTTCTTTCTTATGTGATTATATCTATAGGAAAAATCCTAGCCCATTTGAAATTTACCGTGGGTTAGGGTGTGAGGCATACATCAAACCATATTTTTTTCTCCATGTGGCTTCCTTGTAGTTCCCAGATGATTCATTGATAGCAGCTCTTTTTCTCACTGATTTAAGATACCACATTTATTATATACTAAAACTCCATATGGATTTAGGCCTATTTCTGACTATACATTCAATTGTGTTTGTCTGTTTGCCTATTCATGTGTCATAACAATAATAATCACTGAGACTTTATCTGATAGAGAAAAATCTTCCTTTAGTGGTTTTCTTTTGTGGAGATTTTGTATTTTTTTGTTTCTATTTCCATATGAGCTTTTTCTGTTTTTTGAGACAGGTTGTTGTTGTGTTGCCCAGGCAGGTCTCAAACTCCTGGGCTCAAGCAATCCTTCCTCGGAATAGCTGGGATTACATGTGCATACCACCATGCCTGGCTTACTTTCATATAAACTTTAAAATTATTTCTGGTCTAGTCTGGTTCTAAAAAAAAACAGATTTTATTTTTATTGAAATCACATTAAATATATAAATTAACTTAGGTTCAACATCTTGATAATATTGACTCTTCCTATCCAAAATGCCTTTCCATTTGTTCAAGACTTCCTTTTCTCTTTCAAAGAATGTTTTAATGTTTTTGTCTGTAGAATACTCAGCCTTGAACATTTCTTTTTAGGCTCATCACCTCGCTATGGGGTCTTTTCTTCTATTATATTTTCAATGAGTATTGATTGTATACATGAAAAGATTTGCATATTAATTTTGTACCTTCCTAATTTACTGAATGTTTTGTTTGTTTGTAATAGTTTTTATTTGACCTCCTTGAATTTTCCGGATATGTTATATGATTTACATATAGTGATAGTTTTATTGCTTTGTTAATTCTCACATCTCTAATTTCTTTATCTGGCATAATCGCATTGGCTAGCATTTCTGGTAGAATGTTAAATAATAGTGATGATAGGACCTTTCTTGCCTTGTTCCTGAGTGGGGATGCCCTAGTGATTCTCCCTGAAATGTACTACTGATTCGGGAGGTGAAATAATTATATTTCAACATTCAAAGATGTATCCATTGATAAATACTTTCTTAAGAATTTCATCAAGAATGGTTATTACATTTTGTCAAGTATCTTTTTAGCATATATGAAGATAAAGGTGATCATATGATTCTCCTCCTTATGCCTACTAATTGGTAGATATAAATAGATTAATAGATTTTCTAAGATTGAACCTCCTTTGCAGACTTGTAATAAATCCTATTGGAAATGGTACATTTCTCTTTTAATGTACTGCTAGATTTATTTAGGAGTTTTCTTTAATATTCATATGATATTGGAGATAATTTTCATCAGATTTTACCATCAGTGTCCTGCTTGCTTTATAAAAATAATCTAGAATTCTTTTTGAAGATCTCGTAAAATTGCTCAGAGAAATAATTTCAACCTGGTGTTTGGCCAGGGAAAATGTGCAAGAGGTGGCAGTAGCTCTTTGATGAATTTCTGAGTTTCTGTTAATGAAAATTATACTACTTAGATTTTATGTCTTTTCTAAGCTTGAGTATAATGTTGTCCAATTTATTAAGATTTTTTTCATTTTTATGGTAATTTCCTCTCTTAATCCTTCTCATTTTATTAGCACATTTTTACATTTTTTTCTTGATTAAGTTAGTAATTTATGTTTATTGACTTTTTTTTTCAAAGCAGCAGCTTTCAGTTTTTGTGTTCCAACTTCTTAAATTCTGCATTTATCTTTATTGACTTTTTCCCTTGATTCTCCTTCATTTTATTTTGTTTCATTTTTAACTTCTAAAGTTAAATGTCAAATTCATTTTTTTAGTCTTTCATGTTTATAATGGAAGTATTATTTCCTCTCCTCTCACTATTGTTTTAGCAATTTGTAGTTTTCTTATTACTGTTTGTTAGATGTTTTGCAATTATAGTTTTGTTTTTTTCTCTTTGATTCAACAATTGTTTAAGTGAGATTGTAAAAGCTAAGAGGTATTGGCTTTTCATTTTTAAATTTAATTATTAATTTCTAGTATTACATAGTGATCACAGAATGTTGTCCATATCACTTCAATGTTTTGTAATGTATTTAGGTTTTCTTTGAGTCTTAATATATCATCAATTTCTGTGATCATGGGCACTTAAACAGAAATGTGTACTCTTTTTTCAGGATACAGAGTATGATATTTATAATTAAATCTGCCTAATTCATTGTGTCATCTAGATTGACTTACTTTTTTCCTCTTCATCTGTTATGGCCTGAGAAAGGTGAATTAAAATTTTCTTCTATTAGTAAGTTT